CTATTTATATTTCTACTAGTCCTGTTTTGGCTAGCTATTGTTCTCTTCAGTATCTTTAAAAGTGAACTTTTCCATAAATATCCTTTAATCTCCCTGAATGGGTTTTTTGTGTTTTTTTTCCATTAATTGCTGTCAGTGCAACCGTAGCAACTGATGAAGGAAGAAAACGCAAAAGGCAGCACTGGGTGGCCTTCCCCCAGCCCTGTTGTGTGACTGTGATCGCCAGCCGTGTTTCCAGTTGCTGGAGCGGGGTCAGAGGGCTCACCTCTGCCATGGGGTATCTCGAGGCTGTGGAAAGCTTAGATGTGAAAGCTTTTAGAGCCAAGTACACGAAACAGAGGGGTACTATGCGGAACAAGTTTCCTCCTCCTCAGTTCTTGATCAGCACAGTTTTAAATAGTAGCCAGGTAATAAGACCATTCCTTACTCTGGACTGAACCTAGCTTTTTTAATCTAGTGAAGTCTTTATAGGAAGCATTGTCATGCACCCTTTTTATCGTGGGAAATAGAGCTTTGAGAAATGTGTGGAGCCTCCCCAGAGGGACAAGTGAGATCCAGGAGATCAGATCCCCTATTTTTTGTTGTTGTTGTTGTTCTTTTCAACTCTGAAACCTCTAGTTGACCAGGTTAAGGGTAGAAAATAAACCAATTCCATCACATTTTAGTCAAAGAAGTATGGAAGTGTGCTAATATTTTTATACATTAGGTCATGCAACTTCAGTACAACAAACATATTATCTTTATGTGATTGTTGGATGTGAGACTTCATGAGACATGAAACAGATGTTGATAGGAAAACAATAATTGCAACACATTCCCTCCACCCCCCACCCATGCTTAATACCTTTTTCGCTATCTTTGAGAGAGCCAGGAAAATAACACAGGAAAGCACAAGGGGTGTAGCAGGAGCTGGAAAATGCCAGGTGCTGCTCTGGTGTAAGCTTTTAACCTGCGTGGTGTCATTTGGAAATTGAGTTGGTTACAGTAAACTACAGGAGCATCTACACTAATAAAAGAGAAACATGGTAATTGGCATACGACCGCTACCCTTTTCATTGGCTAATCAGTGAGTATATGCAAATTAGCTGTCAGCAAAGATGGCGGTTAACCGCCAACAAAGATGGCGGCTAATTTGCATATCCTGCGATGATGGGAGGCCAAAGGGGAAGAATGGAAAAATGGTGATCAGAAACCCAGGCGGCAGGCAAGAGATGGGTGCGGGCAAAGGCGGCCATCAGACAGCTGGGCTGGCCTGTGGCCTCATGATCCCGGGGCAATTGGGGTGAGTGGGAGCCCAGACGCAGGCCAGCTGCGTGATCCCCGCAGGGAGCGGGAGCCCGGGAGCAGGCCCCTGATCCTCATGGCAATTGGGCCAGCCGGAGCCCAGGGGCAGCCTGGCCATGTGATCCCTGAGGCAATCAGGGCAAGCGGAGCCCGGGCACAGGCTGGCCAAGTGATCCCCGGGGCCATTGGGGCAAGCAGTTCCCGGGCACAGGCCGGCCGTGTGATCCCCGAGGCAATTGGGCGAGCGGGAGCCGGGGCGCA